ATGAATCGTTTTTGAAATAAAGCATATAAGAAAGAAACACAGGTGAGTTATGAGTAAGAAAGATAGGTTGAATGGCAGGTAGGCAGCAAAAGGGAAGAAAGTGGGCTGCAGAAGTTGGGGCTAGAATTCAACCCAGTTCTCAACCATTTCTGCTAGCACTGTATTTACATTCTATTTTTAATTTCATCATTCATTATATTTTAATTTTTTAGTTTTTTTGGTGTGAAAATATACTTCAAATCTTTGTTTTGCAGAGTGCTCATATTTTAATAAGAGGAAACATTACCTAAACTCTATTTTAAAATGACATAAATGATAAAAGTGAAATAAATAATGCATTAACAGAACATTTTATTTGGAAATTAAATTAAGCCTTTAGCTACAAACACATAATACTCATATGAGAAAAAATGAAATAGAATTTGAGTTTGGTTACTGTTCATATCATTGTCACAAAATATTTTTCTTATAAAATATCTAAAAACATAATTTTCAAGAATGTACTATAATTAAATATAGCAATAAAGCAAATTTTCAAGAGTATAGCAATCAGATTTGCAATTGACTTTTTACATGTAGTCAGAGATTAGACTGCTCCATTTTAATGTTAATGGATTAATAGGCTACCATTTGGTTAAAATAAGTCTGGGTAATTAAAAATTGATATAGAGTACAGTGGTATTTAATAAATATAAATTTAGTATGTACAAATAAAAGTGGCATGCTACACTTAGGTGACTGTTCAAACATAGATTCCTAAAGTTACTGCATGTATTACGATTGAATTTCTTCTAAATATTCTCTTTTGCATTTGATATTTTTGAGATCAGGGTAAAGATCACATTACATTAGACCAATTACCAAATTAACATGGTGATATAATGGTTTGATAATGTTTTATAAAACTGACTTAAAAGTACTTTTATACACAGACATAAATGCATTTCAATGTGAATGAGTAGCTGGTTTGTCACTTAGAGTTGTTTACAATGATATTTGCTCAGATTTTTAACTATTTCGAAGTAAAAAACAAAAACACAAAAGCATGATCACACAATCCTATACCATAAGTTGAATTACATGTAGAATTATCTTACCATAGTCGTCATTGTTTTGTGTCATGAAATAGTTATTTCAATGGAGTAGCTTCTAAAAGACTTTATCTTTATATTTAAATTTATTGTTCTTTATATAAATTGAGGAACTTGAAATCCAATATATACAATACTTTTAAATGAACATTCAATAGAAAAAGTGCCACTATATTTTGATTTTAGTAAATTTTAGATCTATGACTATTTGTTTATTAGGTCTCAAATTATTTTGTCTTTTGATGCCATAAATTAAATAGTAATTATAATAACAAAAGCTAATTATATTGAAAAATGCCCCCCCACCCCGCTCCATTGACAGCTGCAATATAAAAGCACTACCACTAAGTTTTATAATTTGACCGAGAATGAATGAGTCTCTGTAATTAAGCCAATGCAGTACCTAAATTCTCAAAAACAATAACCTTACATTAAGCATATAATAACATTTAGCTTTTATGTGGCTATATGTCAGTATAAAATTAAATTTGGAGTACAGTTTTTAAAAAAGGACTATCTGAGCCAAAAAAACTTCCTTTTGCTTGTGGCTAGGTCAATTGTTTTTTTTAAATTTAAAAATTTTAAATATTTGTAAAAATAACTGAAATTTTGCTGATCATAAATAAAGTATGTAGCTTCTATGCTATGGGACATGAGAGTGTCAACCTTAACTCAAAATTTAGATATAGACTTTCAAGGATTGTTTCTGTAGATGCTATAAAACTTAAGAGCAGTCATCGTGTTTAAATGAAATAAATGATCAGTTTGAAAAAGCAAAAGGTTATGAACTTAGGTTTTCAGGCAGCTTATTATCTTTGCTGTTTTAGCGGAAGATCAATTTCCTAAAGGATGTCAGAGCTAATATACGATTATATCCAAAGAATAAAAAAAAAATAAGAAAACATCTCCCAAATTAAAAAAGAAAAGAAAAAAAGAAAAAAAAACTTTTGTGTATGTGTATAACAAATTCACATTTAAAAAGTATGTACAGTTCAAGATATCTACTTTGTTAGTGCTACATATCTTGAAAGAGAAAATATACAAAAAGTGTGACTGAATTCTACTTTTCATCTGTTGGTCAGAAATCAAATATTTCATAAATAGAAAAATGTTTATATCTAAGATACAATATATTTCATGTATGCTTTTATTAGATTAAAGTTAACTACTTTATATAACAAAATAGTCATCTTTTAATTACTCTTTTAAAACAGAAAAAAGTTAACATGTAACTGATATAAACACTAATAACAGCAGTTTTTGACAATATTAATCTTTAAGAGAAACAATGAAGGAAAGATTTGGTGTCTTCACAGTCAAAACATGTAGACCACTTAAATCATAAAAGAATTCGTTATGATTCATGCATTGCATATATTACACTTTTTTCTTTGCAAACCTATAGTTTTTATAATTAGGAAATCAATTCTTTGCTCTTATTTGCTTGTGATCATGATGATCTAAATGGTGCTACAAGTCAAATGGTAAAGGCAACTCAGCTGTAATAAATACCTGAGGAAGATTCTGAAGCATTCCTCCCTAAGAATAATAAAACTGTTAGAGAGAATTCTGCCTAATAACCTGTTTTTAAAAACAGGAGAAAAGAAACATAACATTCATATAATTATAAATTAGTAAACTATTATGTGCTCAGATTCCAAACATTCTTCCCTTGATAACTTTCTGCAATGAAAACAGAATGTTTTATTTTACTTTGAAACGTGAATGACTCTTACTGGCTGGTTGGGGTAATATGCTAGAACCACAACAAAGGTCAAAGGTAAACTGTACTGTAGTAGATTATCTGTCTCCAGTAGGAGTAGGATAGGAAGTGGTGCTATCCACGTTGAGGATTTGCCGACCATGTTTTTATACACTTTCCCTGAATCTTAGAACTATTTCATAAAATTAATTTTGTTTCATAGTGGGTTCAAATATACCTCTGTAGTAGATATTTCTCTAAATTTTAATAAAACATGGTACATTATAAACTATTATTAGGTATGACATTTAGAGTTTATCCCTAAGAAAATATATAGTGGCTAACTGGATATAAGAAAAAAAAAATCCACAGGTTATATCTGTATGAGTGTTCGTATGAAGATGGTTATATCAGCATAGTGATTTTTTCTTGTAATTACTTGTAGAAAGTAGACTATTACTATTGTACTAATTTCCTGTGGCATGATCATTCTAAGGAACAGCAAATTCTTAAGCTATAAATAAGTTTGACAATCATGCCTCTTTTTAAAAAACACATTTTACTTCAAAAACACTGCTGAAAAATAAATTTCACTGCTAACTTGTTTCTGTATGAGTGTCTTCATACTCTGAAGATATATATGCATTATTGTTTAGTATTACCCTATTGCTTTAATAGAATATCTAAGAAATAATATTCATGTAAGAGCATATATGATTTTTAGTTCTCGTTACAAATATTAACTATAATAATAGAATGCATTCTTTAGTTTTTAAAGTAAAAAGATTCATTTTTATCATACAGGTGATTGATAAATTTGTCACAATATGACAAATAATTGATCACAAGCATTTAACCCGTAAGAACCATAAAAGTATAATGTTTTTAAATAGGAATTTTATACAATAATTTAAAATATTGTCTTTTAAATAAAAGATTTCCATCATTAATTGTTAAACTTAATCAAATGTGAAACTTCAGGAAAAAATTTAAGATATAAAGGAATTTTTATTTCCATGTCCCTAAAATCTAAAAAAAGCTAAGTAAATGTTCTCTATTACTTTTGGTAAAAATAGCTTAAAATATTAAAAGAAGGCAATCCAAAAATAGTATCACTTTTTTCTTATTTAACAGTTGGTCTCTGATTAATATTAAATTCTAAAACATATATAGTAGAACAAGTTAACATTAACAAGATACTCTAAAAATGATAACATTTTGAGTATTATATTATTGTAATAATTGTGAAGCAACTAAGTTTTCTTAAGACTTGAGTAACAATTGTTAACTTTTATAAAATAACTTTCTATAGCTTCTAAAATCTGGAGTTCAGCATTGTAAAGCAGAAACATTAGACATGCAAAACATCTAGCATGCTACAGGTAACCAAAAATCTGCAAATGATATATATTGTGCTGTAGAAAGCAGGTCTTCCTAACACAGTATGGTTCACAGTAAGGTTTAAGGTATGATTTTACTTTTCTTAAGAATTATCCAGAATCCAAACACCAATACAATAAAGTTGTCTGAGTCATTGAAAAAACTTAGTACACTATTTTTTTCAGTTTTTCTTCAACATACCAAATATACGCACAATCTTATTTCTTTGGGCCCAGAATACAAGTAGAATTTAACTGTGTGCTAACTACTTTATGTAACAAGCAATTACCTATTATAAAATAAAAATTAAATTGCTATGAAAACAGGATTTCAATTTCAGTTATAAATTTAGCGAATGATGCCACAGGGGATGTTTCTGCACAATGTTCTCTCAGGCATTTTCTCAGTGCAGTGTTGTGAAGCATGGCAATGATAAAATTACTACCTTTAAAAAAGTGCAAATTATCTTCATTAAAGATAATTGTAATAATGCATCTTAATTTTTACAGTTTTCTGTCTATAACTAAAAAGGCATTTACTGAAAATAGGTGAATTCTATAATAAACAGGCAGCTATTGATCTAATGCATAAGTTGCTCTTTCCTTACTGTATATTCCAGACCACTTGCGAGTTAGTTCTAGATAAAGACTTGGTTTATGAGGCCGGTAATCCAGGTACACTGTACTGGTAGTTCTTTTGGGAATAGCCTTTTCAATCTGAGTTCCTTCATGCCACTCATTAAAAGAGGTGATAGAAATCACACTGGGGTGGGTTTGGAGAGCAGCACGCAGAGCCGTTTCATAATATTTCCCATTGATTCTGTTCCGAGTGTTCTGAGCATTCCATGGACGGATGCTGGTATCTATATATCCTGGCCCCACACTTGGGATAAATATTAGTTTGAAGTGATCACAAAATAATTTTAGCTTAGCCCAATTCTCATATGATGAGCCGTAAGTAAAGCCATTTGTGGCAAAATATGTATAAATTCCATCAAAACCACCTTGAAGGATATCATATTTATGCTTGTCTTCTACTAGAAGTGCAATAAACAATCCATCATAAGGAGAATTGCGAATGCTCTGAGACCCTGAGACGGTTAACAGATTGGCCCATTGTTCAGGCTTTGTAATATAGGAATCGTAGACATAAAACATAGGAAGAGCATTGCCGGTCTTAGTCTTGTACCTGTAAAAAGCCGGATGATTTCCATATCTACAATACAAACATATGTAAAAGTGAAATTAATATTCAGAACTCATTTGCCATACACAATAATTATTTACTGAAAATGAAGGTAATCAGTACAGTTTAAGCAAAATGTTTACCTTCTTTGGGAAGTCAGTTAAATAATTATTAAAAATGCATTGATTTTATACATTGGGAAATGAAATACTGGATACATTAAGACATTACCAAATAAGAAATTATATTATATGAGGTTTACAAATGATGACTAACACCATGAAGAGCCCATTTTCTATATGAATATATGCTTTTAAAATATCAATGATAATTGGCCCACTGTTGCTAAAAAGTTTCTTTGTAAGAGTATGGCATCTGTCACTATTAGTAAAATAATAATTTGTTCAAGGGAACAAAATGAAACTGTATTAATTTTTTTCCCTGTAATCAGACTAAATATAAATAAAAATATTAAATGTCAGTCCTTTGCTATAAACAGTTCACAGAGTTTAAAAGAAAACTCTGTATGATTTAAAGAATATCAATTTAAAATGTCAGTATGATAGAAATCATAAATAGCCTAATAAACACATAAAATAAAAATCTTTATTCATACAGAGAGTGAACTGTAAGGAACTTCAGAAATGTTCCTCAAAATGACTGCAATATTCATTACAAAATTAGTTTTATTTTAATGTCAGACCATAAATCATTCAAATCTCTCAAACAGAATTTAAATGTACTTTTCTTACAACAGTAATTAGCACTGGATCACAAACTGGTGATTATAAACACAGAAGAAACTCACTTGTCTATAATATATTTGATATTTTTGTACATGCTTTGGTCATCTCGATTGTAATATGGTTCGATGTGAAAAGTGACCTAAAACAAAAATATTGATTAGAAAAAAAATTATGATGTAAAAATAAAAGTATATTCCATATTTTAAATTAATTCCATGATTTAATAACCTTAATTTAAAATGCTTACTGAACACAAAAGTTACTAGAGAGTTTAATAGACAATGTACTACGCTTTCTCTAATAATTAATATCCTAAATATTTTATACATTTACCTCAGTTAATTCACAACTCTATAGGTACTTACTATCTTCATTTTCTACACGAGAAAATCAAAATTAAGATAGGTGCAATAACTTGTCACACCCAGCGAGCTGGAGGCAGTGGGTATTCTGAATTCAGAGCTCAAATGTTCAACCACTGTGCAATACTACTTCTTGTATGTTTATTCCTTGTAAAGAATAAATAGGGATATATTCTATATTCAAACATCTTTAAGAAAGGCAAAAAAATGGTCTAGAAAAATCTGAGTTGTTTACAGGTGTGATCATTAGGCTTACACTTAAGTGGAATCAACAGCAAATGTCTTTAAGTGCCAAATTCTACATAATGAAAATATCATTTTACAAAATAATGTTTAATTTGTACTATTAATAGCCACTAGTATTATAAAGGACAATAATTTTTAGAATGCTTATTCATATGGTTTATATATCACTAATAGTAGAAAGCAGTAACCAAAAGTACTTAAATACTGAGCACAGAAGGCTCCATTTTTAAAAAAAAAATTAGATATCATTGTTTAATAACATAAAAATTTCAGGTGTACAGCATTACAATTCAATGTCTACTGCATGCTCATCACCAAAAGTCTGGTTTCTAATCATCATCATCCTACATCTGACCCCCTTTACCAATTTTTCTCTCCCCCTCCTGTAATCATCAATTTATTATCTGAGTTTGTTCATTTTTTAATTTTCTACATGAGTGAAATCATATGTTCTTTGTCCTCTGTCTGACTTATTTCACTTAGCATCATACCCTCAAGATCCATCCATGTTGTTGGAAATGGCAATATTTCATCTTTTTTATGAATGATTATTCCACTGTATATAGGTACCACATCTTTATTCATCTGTCAATGGACATTTAGGTTATTTCCATATCTTGGTTATTATAAATAATGCTGCAATGAACACGGGGTACACATATCTTTTCAAATAAATGTTTTCACAGTCCTTGGATAAATACCCAGAAGAAGAATTGCTGGATCATATGGTAGCTCTATTCATTTTTTTTTTTTTTTTTAAGAACCTCAATGCTGTTTGCCATACTGGTTGTCTCAATTTACATTATCACCAACAGCGTATGAGGGTTCCCTTTTATCTACATCCTCTCCAACATTTATCTGTCTTTTTGATAACAGCCATTCTAATTTATGTTTGGTGACATCTCATTGTGCTTTTGATTTGCATTTCCCTAAAAATTAGTGAAATTAAACATCTTTTCATGTACCTGTTGGCCACCTGTATGCCTTCTTTGGAAAAATGTCTATTCAGATCCTCTGCCCATTTATAATTGTTTTTTGTTGTGTTTGAATTGCATGAGTTCTTTATATATTTTAGAGATTAATCCCTTACTGGAAATATCATTTTCAAATATCTTCTCCCATTTGGTTGGCTGACTTTTTGTTTTGTTGATGGTTTCCTTTGCAATGCAAAGTCTTTTTAGTTTCATGTTCTATTTCTTTATTTTTGTTTCTCTTGCCTTTGAAGTTAAATGCACTAGAATATCACTAAGACTGATGTCCATTAAGTTTAGTGCCAATTTTCTTCTATATATTTTATTGTTTCACGTCTCAAGTTCAAGTCTTTGAGATAATTTCTATATATGGTGAAAAACAGTGATCTAGTTTTATTCTTTTGCATACAGTTGTTCAGTTTTTCTAGCACCATTTAAGAGACTTTTCTTTCTCCATTATATATTCTTGTTTCCTTTGTCATAAATTAGTTGTCTGTATATGTGTGGGTTTATTTCTAAGTGCTTAATTATTTCCCATTGGTCTTTTTGTCTGTTTTTCTGCCAAAACCATACTGTTTGATTACTAAGCTTTGTAGTATAGTTTGGAATCAGGAAGTGTAATGTCTCTGGCTTTGCTCCTTTCTCAGCGGATTGCTTTGGCTATTGGGATCTTTTGTGGCTACATATGAATTTTTGGAATGTTTTTTCTATTTCTGTGAAAAATTCCATTGGGATTTTGGATTTTAATAGGAATTGCATTGAATTTCTAGACTGTTAAAATGTCCATATTACCTAAAGCAATGTTTATTCTTTTAATCTATGAATACAGTATCTTTCCGTTTCTTTGTAACTTCAATTTCTTTCAACAATGGCTTGTTGTTTTTAGTGTACAGGTCTTGCACCTCCTTTTAAAAGTTTATTGCTAGGTATTTTATTCTTTTTGTTGCAATTGTAAATGAGATTGTTCTCTTCATTTTGCTTTGTGATACACCACTGTTAGTATATAGAAATGCAACAGATTTTTGCACATTGATTTTCTACCTTACGACTGTTCTGTACTAATTTATTATTTCTAATTTCTTTTAGAAGAATCTTTAAGGTTTTCCATATACAAAATCATATCATCCACAAATAATGACACTTTTACTTCTTACTTTCCAATCTGGATACCTTTTATGTCTTTTCCTTATCTAATTGCTCGGGCTAGGACTTATAGCAGCACTATGTTGAATAAAAGTGGCAAGAGTGGGCATCCTTGCCATGTTCCTGATCTTAGAGAAAAAGCTTTCAGTTTTTCATCATTGTTGTAGGTTTGTATATATATGGCTTTTATTATGCTGAGGTACTTTACCCACTGTAGTCACAGTTTTTATCATAAATGGATGCTGTATCTTGTCAAGTGCCTTTTCTGCATCTTCTGAGGTGTTCATATGATTTTTATTCTCCATTATGTAAATGTGGTATATCACAATGATTAATTTGCAGATGTTGAATCATCTTTGCATCCCTGGAATGAACCTCATTTGATCATGGTGTATAGTCCTTTTAATGTATTGTTGTATGTGATTTCTAGTATTTTGTTGAGGATTTCTGCATCTATGTTCATCAGAAATATTGGCTGTAATTTACTTTAATTGTGTTGTACTTGCCTGGTTTTGGTATTAAGGTAATGTTGGCTTCCTAAATGAGTTAGGAAGCATTCCCTCTTCAATTTTTTGAGTTTGAGAATGGTAACTATTAAATGTCCTATGAATGTTTGGTAGAATTCACCGCACTTTTGTTTCTTGTAAGATTTTTGATTACTATTTACATTTCCTTGCTAGGGATCAGTCTAGTCAGATTTTGTATTTCTTCATGATTTGGTCTAGGAATGTTATATGATTCTAAGAATTTACCCATTTCTTCTAGGTTATGCAATTTGGTGGCATATAGCCTTTCACAGTATTCTTTTATGATCCTTTATATTTATGGTATCCATTATAATTTTTCCTCTTTCATTTCTGATTTTATTCGAGTCTATTTTCCTTAGTGAATTCAGCTAAAGAGTTGTCAATTCTGTTTATCTTTTCGAAGAATAAGCTCTTCCTTTCATTAATCTTTTCTATTGTCTTTTTAGTATCCATTTCCAATGCCTTTTAAGGAATTTTCCATCTCACTGAGTTCTTCAGTTACAGAACTTCTGCTTTGTTCTTTTTGAATTATAACCTCTTTGGCAAAGTACTCCTCATTACTTTTGTTTCTGAGCTCACTTAATTGCCTTTCTGGGTTTTTTTGTATCTTCTTGAGTTTCTTCATGGATGGCTATTTTTAATTCTCTATCATTGAGATCACAATCTTCCATGACTTTACGTTTGGTTACTGGAGAATCATCTTCATGTTACCTTGGTTGTTCCACAGGATGGTGCATTTTCAGTTTTAAAAACTATATTTAGGTACCTTTTTATGCAGCAATTGAGCAGGCTAATAATTAGAGGTCTTCCTTTTATTTTCTAGTAGATGGTGCCAAGACACAAGATGTTTTCTTACCTGTGCTCCTTGCACCTCCATGGTTGCTGATGCCACAGTTGATGGTGCCACTGTGGTGGGTGCCGTAGCTGTGTCTGAGACAGCTGGGTCCTGAAGCACCACCACCATGGTGCAGGAGTGGAGAAGGCTTCAAGAACCCACAGCTACCTCGCTCCCTATGGCCCTGGGCACTGCTGCTACCAGGCCCTCCAGAGGTGTAACCATAGCCGCAACCAGAGATGGAGGCAGATTCTCAAGTGCCAGTGCTGCTGTTGCCCCTTTGCTGGGCAGTGGTGCAGGACACCATTGTGGGTACTGTGTAAATTAGTACCTAACTCTAAGGAACCTGGGAAGACTCTCACCCACCAATGCAGTCTATAGGTAAGAGATGAAACTCTACATGGGATAGAGGAGCCAGCCAAAATGCCTAAGTGCTGGGCAAAAATTTGGTGAGGACAGACCTGGGCAGGAACTCATGCATTAGAACTTGTAGAAGTCTCACCTTCCCAAAGGGAGACTCCAGCATATCACTGGAGGAAAAGAAAAATACATATTTGGAGGCTGTAAGAGAAACTTTTCCAGTACCACACCTCCGCCTATGGAAACACTAAAAAGGACTGATTTTCTGGTGACCTCTCTCACAGAGAAAAAGTAAAGTGCTGAGTACCTGGTTATCCCAGCTGGAGAAATTCATTCTCTCCACTAGTACCTAGAATAATATGGTGAAAGCTCAAAATCTGTGGGTGTGTGCCCGGGGGGAGGAGGGGGTATTGATATAGAGAGGCAGAAAAGTTTCAAATGATGTTAAAAGGATTGTGTTCACCAGGAAGTCCACCCAGGAGCTGCTGGGAGTACTGCTCCTGGGAGCAACAAACTGGGTCTGCAAACCTTCAGTGCACTCAGTTCTAAACCCTCACCTCCCCCTGCTCTGTCAGTTCCTTCTATGGGCTGCCAAGTGCCACTGCAAGAACAAGCTCCAGTAGACAGCACACCTATCGACCACTGAGTTGAGCTAGTGTCACTTTATTGAAAACAACATTTTTTCAATAGCCAGC